GACAAGAGTCAGGCAGGATCTAGAGAGTGGTGCTAGGAATGAGCAGTTGAATATTTGTCTGTGAAGTCTGTAGAAAAATGAAGTTATTTTTTCAATAGCTATTCAGGATCCAAAAAAGTACGACAATACCGTTCTTTGTTCTTTTGCTTTTATAACTGTGTCATTTAAAAACTTGGCTTCTGTTTTGTGGTTGTTTAGAGACTGCCCGTTGTGAGATATTTTGCACAATGTAGCCTTCAAAATCTTCCTCCTGTTTATTGCTACCCCCGCCCTTTTTTTTTTTTTTTTCCTCCTTCCAAATGTCATCTATTTCATTTGAGAATTGTATCCTGGGGTGTTTCAATTATGTATGAACGTGGAGTATTTGGGATGAGCTGTTCACAAGTGCTTTGTTTGCCATCTGAGCTTTAAATATGAGCAGAATCACCAATATTTTAGTTTCTAGGGCAGGCTTAAACACGCAGTCAAGATGCAGCTTTTGTTCCTGGGTGCTCGGCTTTTTACCATGTTTCTATTGATACCTTAAGAACCTTCCACATCACTTTTCCATGGAGTAAATTGCAAGCACAGAGGAAGGAAATTCCTGTTGGCTCATAGCACACTTGTATCCTCTTGAGATATTCCTTCCTCTGGTAGCACTCTCTCCAGCAGTCTGCCTCTGTAGCCAAGCATACTTGGTTTGAGCTTCTGAATGACAGGTGATTTGACCTGCCTCTCATCTGTCAGCATGTGAAACCTCCTGCTCAGAAGTGTGATGCCTTTTCTGATTTCCTCTGTGTAGGCAAATGGTCTGTCCAGCACAGCTTGTGCTGTTTTTCTTTATTTGGGAGAGCTCAGCATAGTCTTCACCCAACCCTGTTATTCTGGCCTTCAGGCATACTGATTGATACCTACTTTTGTGTCTGTGATGGGAGGAGGCAGAAACAGTTGTAGGTGGAAGGAAAGATGAGCCAGAGACTCTGAAAGTCTTTTCTTACTGTCAGACTTTTAAGGGGAAGAGGTTGTTGGGGTGCTGCACGGAGACTGAAGGCAGCAAAGAGGGGTCTGAGGGATGAGTTAGTGTGAGAAGAGAGCCGGTATCGTGCACACGAGATTAAAACATATTGGATTAAAAGTATCTGGTGCAGAGGGCTGCACTAGGTAGAAAGATGACAGAACTGAACGTGTAGGTGTTCTGATAGGAAATGAAGAATTGAGAGGTGGCTATAGAAAGCTCTTTCTCTGTCTCAGCATTGCGGAATAAAGACCTTCAGCCTGGAGTTACCTCCTAAGACAAATGATGTTACATCTGTAGCAGCTACCCTGTTTGTTGGTGTAGATCAGATGCATCAGTAGCCACTATGGAGACACACAGTGAAAGTGACTGCTTTGGCTGTCACCCGCAGAAGCAAAGGATGTTGTTGCCAACATCTCCATCTGTTGTCCAGCAGCAGTTCTCGAGGCTCTGCTTCTGGAGACGTTTTGCCATTGGAGCACATGGAAAGGGCACAAAGCTCTAATGCTGTCACAGGGCAAACCAGAAGCTGTGGGGAATAGTTTAACGAACATTTTTGGGGAGCAGCTTCTGACCGTGTCTATGAAGGTCTTGCAGCTGATTTCAGGCAACTCTGCTTTTTATGCAGACTACTAACTGTTATAAATATCACTTCTAATGCATTACAGAACAGGGGAGGGGAATGCTGTGGGCTTCTGTAGGCAGGATCTTAATGGTTTGAGGTAGAATGAAATAAGCTGGATGAGAGGACAGGGAGAGGAAAAAATAAAGGCCGTATGGGATCCTAGGCACTTGCAAGGATATTTGAAGCTATGCCTTTGCCAGTTGTCTGTAGCCAGCTGCTGTTTCACAGCAGCCTCAATGCCTTCCAATATTATGCTGCCATCACCCTTCTTCCCAATAGAGCTAGGCACGATAAAACTTTGAATGATGCTTCTCCAAAACAAGAATAATTGTGCCAAGAACAAAGGCTGTGCTTGGGTAGGCAGGGAAGTGCCCAAAGAGAAAAAAGGGAGAATATATTTAACAATGGAGGAGGAAGGAAGGTTCAGTAGACGGTATGGATGTTTTGGTAAAGGGCACTGGGAAGGTAAACAGAGCAAGGGGGAATGAGAATCACAAAGTGCCAAGGACCCTTGAGATGGAGGGAGGCACAGAGAGGGGGTGCCAGGTGCACAGGAAACTCTGCTAACAAAACCTATGGAGTATGTAGCATCCTAGTAGGAAAATAGTGTTATCTTGGTAGACAGTTGCATGGTGGGCATGCATTTTAAAGTAGTGGCTTGCAGACCCAAACCAGCCCACAATGAGGGACAAACTGGGTCACCAGCAGACTGTCTCATCCCTTGGGGGATATTCTGTGAGGAACATGAAGTGAGCAGGAGAGACTTTTGGTTGGCTAAGACTTACTGCAGTAGGGGAGGGAAGGTGTAGAACACTTCTTAGACTTAAGAGATTCCGGCTGTGTTTTCAGCTCAACTGCTAATTCAAGGTCAAAACTAATTTGTCTACATCGTTTGTCTCCACTGCCTTGTCTGTAGATTGTAAGGGCTTCATGTGTGGTCTGACATACTAGTAACCTAATCTTAATTTTGGTGCCTATAATCATGAAATACCTTGGTGTAAATTTGGAACAATCTGCCTTTTGTATGCATTCCACTGTTAAGCTGCTCTCTCGAGCCCTGATTAATAACCTAAATTACTTACCGTAATTAGCTAGTCCTCAGCCTTAGCATTGGGGAAAGCACAAATCTGACAGCTTTCAAAAGTGACTGGAGCATGGTCAGGGAGTCTACAAACATTCCTGCCTTTGTCCTCATCTGGAAACTATTTCTGTCAAAAAAGGGAGATTTTTTTTTTTTTAAGATAAATAATATATATTTAAAAATTCCTTTAATATGTGCTGTACTTCTTTTTGGAATTACCATGTAATTGTCCTTGCACGAACTCTGTTCTTTAGCATGTCAATTACTTTAAAATATAAATTATGTCTCACTTCTCAGAGATTTCATACGTAACACACTCCTCTGGGGTCTGTTCCATGATGCATGAAGTGCTAGGGAATATTACATTAATATGCCTAAAATACCAGTGCTGGGAGATAACACCATTTAAAACAGGGAGAAGCTGCTTGATTGAATTTTGTTCCTCTCCACGATTGTTGAGGTATAAATTACTGGGAGCCCTACTGCAAAGATATGAGCATTTTTATTCTCTGAGCATTGTAATGAACTTTCCTTTATGAAGGACCGTGTTGGTAAGAGAAAGAGAAGCGTATACAGGCAAGCAATGCTGCATGTTCTGGATGGTCGAGGTCTCAAGCGAGTTCAACAAAAGCTCGGTGTGCATACATCAATCAGACAAGGCAAAATTCTTTTCCCCTGCCCCTGAATACTGAGCTAGTTTCAGCTTTTTCTCTTATGGGCAAAATTTTCAAGAATTCCTAAATGATTGGAGTATTTCAGAGCCAAAGTCATGAAGGCAGGTCTGGACAGAATTTTCAGAAAATTTACATTTGTGTGTGTTTTTAAATCTTTGCAAGTTCCCTGGTGTTACAGTACTGTTGGAGTGACCGAGTGGTGTCTGATTCTTCTCGTTTCTCTTTCCAGTGGGTTATATCTGCTGACTTTTAGAACAAGGTGAAGGTCAGATGCCAAGTTGATATTAGTAAGTGTTCAACTTTGGGGCAAATTATCCTCGTAAAATGCCGTTAGTGAAATAAAATTGGAGACTTGTGTACAAAGGAAGGGTTATGTGCATCCACCCTCCAAGTGACAGTGCAGAAGACTCCTCCCCTAGAGGGGTCGCTTGTAGGAATGAAGGAATGGCTTTACCTCAGCACTCTTTCAGTTGGTGGGTAAACTATATCTGTACCGTGTTCAGTTAATTATTGTCACGTTACTCAGAGATGAATGTTCCTGCACTCTAACACGAACGTGTATGTCCACCTACAGATGACGGTGACGGCTCTGGTGAAACGCGTAGTGCTGCAGACTGCGTGGTAGCAGGCTACATGCTAAGGCTCCTGCAGCCTGCTGCCAACGAGCCAGGCGTTTCCCTGCCAACAGCAGTGTATTGCGCTGTACCCAGGGTCACTCGGGTTTGGTGCGTTGGCTCCAAACCACGACCTGAGTAAAGGCTCTCAGAATTAGTGCTGTGCCTGGAGGGTTTGATGAGGCTGTTCTGGCTGGTTGGGTATGTGTATTGCTGGCTCCTCTCATTTATGGGGGTGCGCACATGCTGGAGTCGCAGCCTAACAGTTGCTGCCGGCGGAAATAAAGGTGAACGTTACTGCAGTGTAGCTAATGGGCCGTTTCCTTCTGGTCATCTTGTACGGGCCTTTTTTGAAACGGGAGCTCCCACGCTCTCCTTTTGCTGGCAGCATTGAAGCCCATGCAGATTCAGTACAACACACAATCTCAGTTATGGCTGGAGTCTTTTCCTGCCAACAGACAATCTTCAAACTGCACAACAGTGACAAGAACCTCAGGAAGCCCTTAAGCTGAGGCGAAGGACACTCTTTATTGGTAGCTGTGCCAGCTAACCCAAGGTGGTTTTAAAGCAACAGTGACTTGAAAGGAACTTTAGATTAATTAGCAGTTTATAAAAAGCCTCGATTCTCAGTTTGTCTCCAGTTGAGCTGTGCAGGTATGTCAGCAATTGCATCTGCTCCCTCTGGATTCTTTATATCCTTCTGACTTTTCTTACCCTTTCTTGTTTAAGATTTATGTCCATCTCAAAGAAGGGAGTGGTGCTGATGGGCTGGATGCTTTGAAGAACAAACCACAGCTTCACAGCATGGTGGCCAAAAGCCTTTGTCAGAACGCCTCTGGGAAGAACTACATCATCTTCACTGGCCCAAGCATTACCAGCTTGAATCTCTTTGAAGAATTTGAGAAGCAAGGTATGTATCGGGTGACTCATTGGGGTTTAATGATTACAGACCTAGGGGTGTCCTGCCACTGAATTAAAAAACTGCCAAAAGGCTTCACTGATATTTCAGTTCCTTGTATACGTAAGTTGGTCATCTCTAAGAAAAGTTCTTATTCATGAAAAGTTACTATGCAAAAGACTTTCTAAATTGCTCTTTAAATCTTCTAAAAGTTCAAAAGGAGGATGTAAAATCATTTTAAATAAAATTATTTAAAGCCCATGCTTTTGTTATTTACGTTAGAAATGTGAGGTCTAATCACCTATATGGCCTGGGGAACTTTTCAAGGGATTTCGTAGCTCCCTGTGATTTTTCTGTCCTGTTGTGAAAGCCTAGGGATGAGATGAATCCTTAAAGGTGTGCCTTAGAAGTCTTTGCTGGTTTAATATCTGTTGATGAAGTGACTTCTCTAGATGACATTTAATGCCATTGCAAAAGCCCTAGCAAAGTTCGCTGGTTTTTGCTGGTATCAACATGCGGTTTTTAGTTTTGAAAGCATAATAAATTCTGCATTCGCAAAAGCACACTTGCCAGCAGAATGCCCGTCGATATGGTTCTCCAAGCCATTTTCTTGATATTGCAGAGGATAAGGCCAGATCGTCCTCTCTGTCAAATGCCGCCTCGCCTTGGGTGTGGAAAAGTCACGTGTTACTTTGCTTTCAGAAACGCTGAGGACTTGTGACCCCCCTTAAATTACAGACTCCTGCACTGTTGACAGTCAGTACTCTTGGCTCATTCTTCAGTCAGCACAGCCTTTCAGATTTGGTCGTGAGCAGAATAGATCCTTTGGAGCAGTGGGACTGGAGGCTGCCGTTACGCATCACGTCCGAGGAGGCTATGGGGCTGTTTCCCTTTTCAACACACCACTGACAACCGAGTTTCGATTCTGGCATGGTTTTTTGGCCTTGCAGAAAATTAAACTCACTTATAGCATTATATTAATGAAATGTGGCCCAAAGCAGGGGGAAGAGACCGGGAATTGAGACAATGTCTTGATTCTCATTTAAAATGAGAACGCCAGTGAGCTGCACCAGTGCTGTAGCTGAGCACTTCGGACTGCGTTGTCACTGAGGCCTATCACTGCTGAGCTCCGTGCGGGACTTAGCTCCTACGTTATTTTAAGTAAACTGGAAGCTCACAGAGTACAATGCAGTACCATTATATTCTAAGAGTCATGTTTTCCCAAACGCTGCAAACAGCCAAATGGGAAAGAAGTCAAGCGTATTTATAGTGCACTGGAGTTCTTCCTCTGAGCAGAGGCTGTTCTTTAATAAATGACTCTTTTCCCACCTGCTTATAAGCATTACATTTTTAAGACTGCCAAAGCAATGATGCAAAATATGAGTTAAAAAAAATGTAGAGGATAACCCACATACTTCTAGTACCTGAGATGTCAGGTTGAAATATCAATACTGATAGACAAAAACTTGACTGCTGAGTCGTACCCTTTATTCTCAGCTGGGGAAGGATAAAGACAGTCATGACAATATGGCATGACTCGGTTGCTACATGACCCTGGTGAAAAAGATGCATGTTTGCTTAACCAGCTGAGTGTTTATTACTTACAGATAATTCCAATTGTTCACAGGGGTAAATTATTCATGGGCTTTACATTGAACAGATTATTCAAATTAACAGTTCCTAGCGGGCAGCAAATTCAATAATGTCTTTTTAAAGCATGCAGTTTTTACTTACTATCTGATCAAATATGCTAATGCTATACTGAGATTTCAGTTTGGTTCATGATTTGTTACATGGCTTCATGAGACTTTCTATGATATTTGACAGCTGCTTCCAAAACTCAATTTCTGATCTGGTACACCTTCTTAGAGCTGAAGCTGTGTGGTGGGTAGGGGTGTACTCTGAGATAGCTGGTTGACTGGCTTTGCAAAATAGTGTGACACTCCTATATAAAGAAGATTATACAGAGAATGTGAAAGTGTTTCTGGTTAATGAGGATGTGGGATTGTCTGTGTTTGCCATGGTATGCCAGGGGCTAGCTCACAGGTTTGGCAGAGGGATGTTGAACTGGAAGGACTGAGACCCTGGGAGAGGTGAGATGCTAGAGATGTCAAGCAGTAGTGAAGTCGGTAAGAGCCCTGGAGAAGATGGTGTTTACTGAGTCTACTGCAAAGCAGCTAATGTACTGGCAGCACCTGCTGGGATCCTACTGCATTGGCAGGACATTTGGGGAGGGGAAGGCAGAGAAGCCTGGACTCAGCAGAGATCTCTCCTCATGTGTCACACAGGCATCCTCAGCAATGACTTTATTGCTTTTTTGGTGTATGGCCAACTAAATCTGAACAGGGCTGCACCAGGACCAAGAAGTGTCACAAAAGCCTGTTGAAGAGCATCTGTGCTCAGGTGCTCATGACAGTTCAGGACCCATTCTTAAACTGACGAATTTACTTCTCTTGTTCAAGAAAATTTAGATTCTGAGCTAGAGCAAGTTCAATGGTGGAAATAGAAAGATCCCATTGAGAACTGAAAACAAAAAGAAATTGGAATTGATCTTAACTGCTTTATATTGTTTGAGGGGTTTTTTTTGTAACTATCAGCAGAGAAATAGAGGGAGATTTAAACAGGCTAATGCTTAGAAACTATAAACTTTTTGGGAACCTAAAGTGACATTTAAAAGAACTAAAGAAAATTCTGGAAAATCTAGAGACACGCACCAAAAATGTATTAGTTCCTCTCAAAATTCTTGATGAAAAGAACCTGGGGCTTTTGATAGCCAGGGAGTTGAACACGAGTCAGCAACGTGCCTGGGCAGCAAAGATGGTCCACACTATCCTGAGCTGTGTTAACAGGAGGGTAGCCTGTAGATCAAGGGAGGCGATTATTGCCTCCTACTCGCCATGTGTATTGCCTCCTATTCAGCCCAGTTTTGGCCAACCCACTCCAGTACAGGAAAGGTATTGATAAAATGGAGTAAGCTCAGCACAGGGCCACCAGCCTGACCAGGGGCTGGACCTCGTGCTTCTCTATGGGGAGGGGACCGCGCTTGTTCAGCCTGAGAAGAGAAGGCTGCGGAGGGACCCAACAGCAGCCACATGCTACCCTGAGGAGGGTGTTGAGAGAACGGAACTGGCCTTTCATGGTGGTGCACCATGGAAGGACGAAAAGCTACAGGCATAAGATGAAAGAAAAAAAGTTAGACTAGATGTAAGGTTTTTCCTGAGGCCAGTGGAGCAACATGCCCAGATAGGTTGTGCAGGCTCTGTCTTTGGAGATTTTCAAGCCCAGACAAAATAAAGCTCTGAGCAGCGCTGTCTGACCTCAGAGCTAACCCTACTCTAAGCAAGGGATGGGACTAGAGACCTCCTGAGTTGCCTTCCAACCTGAATCCAATACTTTAATCCATAGGATCCTGTGAAGACTTTTGTGGAACTTCAACCATCGTTTGCTTTTCCTAACCCTAACCCACACATGCGTCACTGCAAAAACTGCAGTGTTCTTTATTGAAAACCTGCTGTGCACCTTCTCTGTACCACCGTAGGGAATATGTGCCTAGTAATATAAAGGGGTATCGGTGAACATAATTCTAAAACCTTTGAAGATACCAAGGGCTGAGAAAACTTCAGAAAATAAGACATCTTTTTGAAAAAGAAAATCTTTTTCAAATCAAAATCCTGAACAGACCTCCTCTTCTATTTTTCAGGGGACATACAAAGCATTTCTTTCCCTGACCTCTGAGTAGAATAGGAAACCTGCACTGAAATGTCCCAAATTCTGTGTTCTGCGAGCAGACAGCTGTCATTGTTATATAGTGTGACATCCATTCATAGTGCACATCCCTTTTTCCCCCTCTAAGCGTTAGCGTTGTCCCTTACAGAGGACAGCACCTCCTGAAGCCCTGTGTCCCATGCTTTCTTTAAACATAGGATCCCCAATACTCCCTTTCGCACTTTCTGGACAGAAAAAAAGCTGCAGCAGTTGCCCATGCTGGGTGACCGTGGCACTCCCACAAACTTTACAGGATCCTGCAACTCCAGCACGTGGACTAAAGCAAGCTCTCATCTCCTCCACAACAGGCCCCCCAGTTGCCCTAACTCTGACCTGACCCAGCATTTTATGCAGGATAAATGATGTTGGAAAGTGTAGTTTTGTCTGAACTAGCTCGAGCCTGGCTGTCTTTGCACATGGTACTAATGAAGATGGGGTGAAACAGGCTTCAGGGCTTGGAGACCCTGGGAATGAATCTGGGGTGATGACAATATTTCTTCATCATTGGTAAGCTATAGGTGTATGCATTTATGTTGCAGTTACAATTTAAGAAGACCAGAGGAGGACAACTGCCTCCACGGACCCCTGTGTATGTGGCAAACACCTGTGGTGACTCCAATTCAGTTGCACAGAGAAACTTCACTGAGCCAGATGGGCATAATTTTTATTGTTTCTATTGCTATAGTAACTGGGTGGTTTTAAAAAGCTCTGCAGATTAAGGGTGTCATCTATGATGAGAGACGCTAGTAAATCTGCAGAAGTGCAGCACTTTTCTAGGCTATACGGCAGGAAGGTTACACAGTGTGTTCCTGAGGGAGGAAATGGTTCCCATTATTCTGTACGAGGAGGGAAACATCTGCTGGAAGCTTTCTGCAGGCTTATTGCCTGAGCTAAAGAAAAGGCTACAGTTAATTATTATGGGATCTCAGAGATGGCTGTTGCTATTTTGAAGCTCTAGGACAATAACGTAGTTATTAGCTTGGTTTTATACCATTGCACTCTCCTGGAGAGAGTATCACCCTTCAGTGAGTCATAAACTTGAGGCAGCTAAAGAAATTCTTCTCAGGCTTGCTTGTTATCAGAGCAGGAAGATCTTAATATTGGCTAGAAGAAAGCTTTCTAAAAGTGTGCTATGTTAATGCCAAAGTTTGCAGGTACGTGACCTACACAGTTTGTGTACCTTTTAGCAAGACAAAAAATAAAAAGAAAAAAACCTTCCACTGGAGGTGCAGTTCCTCCTGTATTGATTGTAAGCCAGTTGCCATCAGGCTTTTCTCCTTGTCTTTGCTTGGAGGAATGTGGGGATTTCCAGGGACTGATTCATTCATGAGAAATAACTGAAGGAGTGCACATTTCCCCCTTTAGAATGAAGTGGCCCCATTGGTTTGTTGGTTGACCTTTTTCTGACATGAGTGTCTTAAATTTCCACATGGAAAACCTTTAGCGCCCTGTAGCCCTGTCCACAGCAACTGGACCAATTAATGAGTATTAGTAATTATCATATTAGTATTCCTGTAGTATCTGTGAGCTGTTGAGGGGATGCTCAGCATGCCAGGCACTGTATGATAGAAGGACAAAGGCTGCACCTGCAGTCAAGAGCTTAGGTCATTCCAGAAAGACAGAGGCAGAACTGCCACGTGAATGGAGACCCAAGAACAGAGGTAACACGCTCAGGGGAGACCAGACACTGTCGTCTGACTTAGCATTTCCCCTGTCAGGGTATCCAGTTAGCCCATGTGCAAAATTCAGCACGATGAAAAATTGGATCAGGCAGACTGAGCTGACAGATGAGCTTTAAGCTACCACAAGCCTCAGCTGCCATATGAAAGATGTGCGCAGATGTCATCTGCTTCTGTGCCCGTTGTGTTTTTTCCACTCAGGTGAGTTAGCGTGTTAAGGGAGACCAAAGAAATATTCATCCAAGATTTCCTTGAGTTCGATTAATTTGATCAAGAAGATCTGCTTCTCTTGGACTAAGAGAAACACTGTTATCATTTCACAGCCTAATGAAAAAAATCAAGCATTGTCAGTTGTTTCAAATCTTGTTTGTGCCCACCTGGCTGCATTGAGATGTGTTTTGGGGTGTTGCATTTTTATTCATTGCCTCTTTCACAAATTAAAAGGCCAAGAAGCTGTGAGCAGCAGAATGTGTCACCTGTGGAACCTCTGATGTCTGTGCAGGACCAGATCAGTGCTCACTCTACTAGGGTACTACTTGGTTTCTCTCCTTCCCCTAAAATCTGTTCAATTGAATTTGTAGTTCCATCTTCTCCATCCTTCTGGCACATGCACTTTTGAAATCAACCAGTGGTTTCAGTGGTTCTTAATTGTTTAAGCAGCATTTCCTTAACAAACCAGATGATGCAGGTTCAAAGAGTAGCGAGCTGAAAAGCAAGAACTGGCCAGCACAGTGAAGGAGTAGATCAAACCAGAGTTTGTCAGCTACCTGTATTGTGATTAAAAGCATCATGGGAGTCACGTAGGAGAATTTATTTCAGTTAACATCTAAGATGCTATAGCTTTTCCTACCTGCCTGCTGCCTCCACAATTTATTCTCTTAGTTAAATGTTAAAGCCTCTCTTGGATCATAAATTCTGATTTGTTCCATAATGAATATCACCACTTCTCCCCCCGCCCCAAGTCCAATTTTAAACATGTTGTGAAGACTATTACACAGATTCTAGCTGTTGTTGTTGGGAAGATACCTTGAATTCTTCTCCATGTCATTTCATCATGACTCTGCAGGAGGTGTCAATACATTCTATCAGGAGAGCAGGCTTTCTGCGCTTGTCCCGGTTTCTGGAGACATTCATGCAGGGGACACATCTTTGGTATTACAGGAGAAGGCCAGTTGGCTAACATGTCTGTTGTATTAGAAAGTTGTAGCCCAAGCTCTTTCTCTAGTCAGGTCATTCAGACTCGCTCCACTGCTCTTGCTTTCTGGGCCCATGCGATGGCTTGCTGAGAGGGGATGTGTTTGTTCCCATGCAGGGATTTACTGCTGCGGGTTGCTGAGCGCCAGGAAGAGCGACTGCACAGGCCTACCTCCATCCATGCTGAGCAACCCTGAAACTCCCCAGTCCAGAGGACAGTACAGAATAAGAATGAAGGGAAACATGTCCTTGATCTGCTGGTACAATAAAGGACACTTTCGTTTCCTGACCAACGCATATTCACCCGTTCAACAAGGTAAGCAACATTCCTACTGCTGATCTGGAAAGTCCACGTGCCTTATGTGACAAGGCAAGATGAGTCATTGAGTTCAATAATAAGCTTGAACAAAGAATTTGGTCATGTATCCTAGATAAACAGTACAGTTCTGGTGACTTCCCTTATGTGTTCTCCTACAGCCACTCTTCCCCCCTGCCCCGTATGAAGGTTAAAAGCCTACTGCTAGTGAAGCCTCCTTTGCCTGAGCTGGTGGAGGCAGTATCCTTTTAGGTATAAAGATTATATCTTTGCTGATGGCCAGAGAAGGGAAGAGGGTTCTTGTATAACACTATACCAGCCCCATTTGCAAAGCATCTTGTAGGATTGCAGCTACAGAAAAATCAATAGTAATCATGATGCACTTAGAACTCTGAGTAGATTCTACAATTAACTTATCCAGTAAAAACTTAGTCACAAACAAATGCCTTTTTGCCAGAGGTAAATATGATTAGGGCTTCCTGTTGTATGATAAATTATTTTAGCAGTTGATGAAGAGAAACAAAAACAGATAGCTTGGATAGTTCAAATAATTGCAAAGAGTTTCTTGATACTGAAATACTTCCCTTTTCAAAAGTACACAGATGTTTTTAAGAAGGTTTGGAAACTTCTGTAAGATGCAATATGATTAGCTAACTCTTTGAAACTCATCTTTTAGTGAAAATGTTGCTTCAGTTTCTCTTCATTTTTATTACTCAGAATTATGTATAGCTACCTGAGACAAACAAAAATAACCTAAACCTTTTAAATGTGAAGACACTGATGCAAAGCTATCTTTTACACCCATTTTGTAAGTCCCAAGTGACTCTCAAGTGCGTACAGGCTACAGCAGCAAAGTTAGGGCTTTGATTTACTGTGTGGTAAGTTGAGAAGTTGTCTTAGTGTATTGCTCGGTGCTTTGCCAGAAGCAAAGCATGGCTGATTCCAAGGAATTCTGTCAGACATCATAGCAGAGTGAGGACTTGGTGACTTGGATGGACTGGTATCTGAGCACCAGCGCCGAAATATGTGCATGAAGAAGATATTACTAGAAAAATACTTTGTACCTGTCAGTGTTAACTGCCCCTTTAAAAGAGGGGCCAAAACCAGACTCTGGGTTGGCAGCGTCCTTTACAAGGAGCCCATGGAGGTGTGAGCTGTTGTGCTTGTGATTGACCTGGGGTCTGTTTTGACATAGACAGGATTGTAGTCTGTGTATGTGAAGTAGGTTACGGTCCACTGATTAGGACCTGCGTGTGTGGTAGTGGGCAAGACATGGCCAACACATTGCTCACCAAATGCTTGCCGGGACAGTCGACATAGTTCACAGAGAATCAGAGCAGAAAACAGACACTGGGCATTTGAAGTGTGGCACTGGGCGGGGAGAGTCTCTAGTGGGGAGGTGGGAACAGATGGAGACTCAACAGGAGGACCAGATTGTCTGCCTCTCATTTGGCATCCCTGAAATCAGTGCAGCAGTGCTAGTTTAAACCAACTTGAAGCTTGACCACCAGTCTCCTTTAAGGTATGTAAACACAGAGGAGGAAGAGGAGGAATTTATGCTCCTTGAGGCAAGCCTGTAGCACAGACCTGCTGAGCACGCGTGTTAGGTGGGAGAGGAGGAAGGGATGAAAGGAAATAAAACCCACACAAGGGTAGTTGGACAGAGACTGGCACCAGTGGGATCACCTGGCAGTGCATGGTACGTATTTGCAATTGGTTGAGCGTAAATATTGACAGGCATGGAGGAGGCCAGGAAGGGAAAACCTTAAAAACAGAAGGCAAGATATGGTCAAAACAAAACTTAGAATGAGAAAAGAGGTGAATGTAGTTAATAATGAGCTATTTATTGCAATTTAAAGGAAAAGTCGAGAAGGTAAATCTTGCCTGCACTCAGAATGCAAATCCCACCCAAGCCAGAGGCACCAAGAGGGCAGTACACTTGTCAGAGCTGATCTATGAATACTATTCTTAGATGCAGCAGGTTATTTATTATGGATGTTTTGAACCAACGTGTCATAATACATTATCTCAGATGCTAAAGGATGAGTCTTTTCCTTTAGTCTTGCAAAAAACTCCCTCCTGCTGTGCTATCAAGTATGAAGTTTCTGCCTAGAACAATATTCAGTGGGTTTTTTATTTCCCTTCAGCTTTAACTTGAGTTTAATTTTTCCTTGTGCCTGTATTACAGAAGTACTGAGAAGCCAAAAGAGTTTGGGGCCCCCAGAGATTAAAAAGTTACCCTTATTCTAGAGCGGGTGATGTATATGCTGGCCCAAACCTCCTGATCTGTAGGACATGGCTGCATTTTTGGTTTTCCACTCTAGATCTGGCGATCTAGTAATGGAGATTTTCCCATCTCTATTATTACGTTCTAGAAATAACTACAGTCCTTTCTATTTTTCATATGAAGCAGGATGGAGCAGGCAGTAACCTCACTTGTGGCACAGCAGGATGGCCAGAATGACATCTTTAGCCCAAATTTGTTGAACTCAAGATCTTTTTAAGAAGTACATTCTTTCTGTGAAGAGCTTTCACAGCTGCCCTTCTCCGACAAGCTCTACTGAAAACTAAACAGACAGTAGCTAAGGACAGAAAACAAAGCTTGGGCCACATACTGCAGGGACTAAATTGCTGCAAAGGATGTGTTGGCATCTCACAAGTGACCCGTGAGAAGATGGGAGATGCTGTGGAGACATCGCAACTGTATGAAGCAGTTGTATTAAGTAGTTGTATTAAGTCTCTCTGTGGTTCTTAGCCCCAGAGGAGCTGGAGTGAGGAGTGTCTGGTCACAATCCAGCTTCCTAAAATAATCAGCCTGTGAGATTGGCCCAGAACTGGAAAATCTGGGGAAAGAAGAATAATATTAAAAAATAAGTTTCAGGATGGGGAGCTTAGGGTTTTAACTTTAAATTTCCATGTGTCCTTTGTGAGACTACATTCAGGAGGTTGTGCCCAAGGATGGTGAGAGTGAGGATGGGGCTGGAGGACTCTGATGGACCTTGAACGTTAGACCTTGTACAATGCTGACTATCTGCAAGTCTGATAAAGAGCTGTAACCAATCTAAGTCCTGATAAAAAGCCACATAGCCTTGGAACATGCAGTGCCCCCTCGGTTATGTTATGAAATCTCAGTGCTTGCCAGGGTGGATGCAAGTGCTAGTATTACTGAGCCCCCATTTTTAAAAAAAACAAAACCATGGTTCTAGCTCCTAAAATCACAGATTGGGTCAGAATAAGTGTTTGAGGAAACAAAAGTATGTACACCTTTTGTCTTTCTGCTTGTTTCATTTGGGGTGATATTTCCCAAGCTTTGCCTGACAAGCATACAGCTTAACAGCTTTTTTAAAAATGGTTTAAAAAATCCCTGATAAACCCCCAAAACTGATGCTTGTCTGCAGTAGCAGTGTCGTAGCCGGCAGCCCTTCCAGCACATAGGCAAAGGCAGGCCAGGGCTGCAGCGCGGGCTGTGTGTTCCCTGGAGTCCTGCCAGGGACGGGAACATAGGGATGCTGGGGGAGGACTAGGAGAGGAAATAGCTCATCAGATGTGCCAGTGAGGCAGCTAGCTTTGGGACCACTTGCCACAGAGACCTGCAGCTAGGAAGGACCCTGCTTTGGCAGTTGCCTTCCCTGGAGAGGTGGCCTCTGGCTGTGAAACAAGCCTAGGAAAGGCTGTAAAAATAATGTGTGTATAAAGGTATTTATCTTCTCAAAACAGAGGAGTGTTACATGGGATATAGTAGAAAGTGAGAGGGGGTGTAAGTTTCCCACATAGCAGCTACTGCAATGCATTTGTTTAAGGATTGTGAATACAAAGCAAATTGCAAAGGAAATATAAATCCTCCAAAGGAGGAGATGGGGAAGAAAGAGAAGAGAGGAGAGCAAGAGGAGAAAGAAGGGGATTTTGTTTTTTTAAATGCTTGCATCAGGAACGTACTTACGCTTTCCTGACCAGTGCTGCAAGGGATTTGCACTGATGCAGCAGGCTGGTGGTATATCACCCCTTTTTACCTCCTGCTGGCCACATTTTTGTAGGACTTGTGAAATGGATCAAAAAAGCACTCTAAGTATGTGAAGGTAAGGAAGGATTTATTTATTTGATTGAGGTTTTTATCCCCTCCGCTTGGGCTACATTTACACCCCGCTTGGGGAGGCAGAGGTGAGAGTGTATTGAACAATTTAGAGGTGATATAATTTTGGACTCCTGAAATATCAGACTTGAAAGGCCCCAGATAAATTGCTGCATGGCTCAGCTGTAACATGACATTTAGTATGTGTCATAAGTCTTGCTTCAAAATAGAGCCTGCAAGCTAGGACAAAGCAGGGGGCTTGACAGAGATAATGGATGAAATGAGACTTCCAGCTGAAGGAATGAAATGGTGAAGTCTGTAATCAAATCGTGAGGAGCATTTTAGGGATGATTGTAAAACAGTTGGCAGAAGGAATGAGAAAGCCCAGAATTGTAGCTCTACTGAAGCGACTCTGAGAAAGGGTACAGCCAAGCCTATGCTTCTCTAGACCTGGAGAGAAACAGTGTTGTCCCTGGGGAAGAGCAGATCCTCCCTAGACAGTGTGCCGTAGACATGGAGCAAGAGACGGTCCATAGCCTGGAGAGCTGACCATCAAAACTTGTGGGGACATAAAGTCCAAAGTTAGGGAACAGACTACTCAGTAAAGCACTACAAATCTGGTTTACTCATCCTTCCTTCCCACAAGCAGCTTCCCCTGCATGGGGAAAACACAGAGGAGAGGAAGAATGAATCAGAGCAGAGCTAGGGGAGTTTCTTGGGAAAGTGTTGGACTCACAAACCTTGCTGTTGTGTTGGAGAAGGCCAGGTCAAAGACGCACGGTGGGAGGGAACAGGGCCTGTCCTTGGAGTAACCTGCTCAAGGCACCGCATCTTTGTCTGTGTAGAGGGTGGCTAGTAGGTAGCTGCAAAGGGCTTGTTGCCTTATCCCACGTTTCTGCAGGAGGCAGGATAATCTCCCCCTATGATGTGCTGAATGCCTAGTCAGCTAACCAGGCAGGGAACACCACTGTCAGGCAGAGAAAGGTGTGCTTAGCTCCACTGAGCACACACCTGAGCTAATCTCCCCACAGCAGCGAACCGTGCTGCTTCTCGTTTCGGAGATACTGTGGTTGTGTCCCCTCCAGCTCACCCCCAGCATCGCACCCCCTGTGTCTCGAGCACGCTGGGTTTAGCCGGTTGGCGCCTTCTCACTGTCTTTTCTTTCTTTGTCAGTTAGCACCCAGCGGAGGGGAGGTGGTGTTGTTCTTGGCCCCCATGGGTGGGGGTGATAAGCAAAGGATTTCATTTCAGGGGACTAATTTGGGACCTTCAGAGCTCAAAGCATAAAGTATCAAATCACAGCTCTAGAGGTGACCACAACTTGTTGTGAACCAACAGAGAAGAGACAATATGCTGTCTGTAGCGGGTTACTTCGGGACTACAGCAATGTAGTTTTTCTGAACATACAGTAGAAGTGGTTGTGTCTAACATCACCTCATTTCCAACTGAAACATGATCCCTCCTCCTCTCCTTCCATGCGCCCAATGTACTACCTGTTATAGATAGCTTCCCAGTTTTAGGGTAGAAACTCTCAATAAGGTTTATTTTACAACAAACCGTATCTTTTATTTGCTGGACCTGTCACGTGGATGTAAAACTCTTATATTTGTAATTGATGCAGGAGTTATAATTAAGAGAAAAAGCGGAGAAATTCCATGCCCGTTGGCGGTTGAAGCATTTGCAGCTCACCTGAGCTACATCTGCAAATACGACGACAAATACAGCAAGTAAGTAAGAATATGTGCGTGCATGCGTGTGTGTTTCTTTCACTCTTCCTCTGTTGCCACAATTGAGTTATCCATGTTCAGCTGGAGCTGAGGGCCTGATCCTGCTTTTACGGAATTAATCTTTGACAAAGCTCTTCTTTCAGTCAAAGATCAGAAGCTGCCTCTGCACAAGGGCAAGAGCTGCATCCCTAGTGTGGTTTTGGCTCTGTCTATCCATCCACCAGTCAAAAAATTAGACTTACATTCTTAGCATCTCCTAAGTGACTTCTAGAAGTGTTGGGAAGATAAGCCAGCGTGCTGATGTTCTTGGCCGCATCAAACTGAAGGCTAAAGAGAGAATTCAGCAAGGGTCTACCAGCCCCACAAGTCTCTCAGGTTAACTCAGCTCTCCTCCCCTATCAGCAGATGGTGTTTAGGTGATTATCTGTCCCCATGATAACTGTGTCACCTGGAGCCAGAAGAAAAGTGGTGGATGTAAAGCTGATCTAGGTGATCTGGAAGAGCAGAATGTAGATCTTTTGGCTCCTGATTTCCAGTTGTGTCCTCAGTGTTAGCTCTTAATGTAGCAGGGAGAAACAGAAACGGGTAAGAATAGCAGCGGTGAAGTTTGGCTGGAGTTTGGAATAGAAGTGGGGTGCAGAAGATTTCAAGAACTAAAAATAGAGGAGAGAGGAAAAGCATTATGGATTTTCCAAGCCAGTTCTGGGCAAGGCATCAGGAATACAATAGAAGAGGTGGAGGAGGCAGGGGTGGTTGCTGGAGAGTGATACTGGGATCAGATATGGGAAAATGAATGAAAAAAAAGAGGTGAGGTAGTAGATTTAAACGGTTACTGAAAAAAAAAAGGGAAGTAGGGAAGTGGGAAATAATATGACTGAAGAGCGAATATTCTCTAAGTAAGTCCTAGAATTAGTCAGAACCTAAACATAAGGATGTCAGTCCTTTCTAGTTCTGCCTTATGGAGTGATGCTCCACATACCGGCACTGCACGCTCAGGCTGGATCCCCACGTCCTCCCACCTACTGCTGGCAGCAGCAGAAATCATTCTTTGCACACAATAAACAAGAGGAGAAACATCAGCAATCTTCCCTAAACTGTAGCATAATGTGCCTGAGGCTTTTTTTTTAGTTAGAAATTGAAGGGATTCAGACCCACCATTTCCATCATGTGGATATTAGTCACGGGTAAGCTCGAGGAGGTTGTATCAGTACAGTACTTTGGAGTGGTACAGAGAGGAGAGTGTTACTGAGGTTTTGCTTCTGAAAGCAAGGAAGTGTGTTCTTTTAGACACTACTAGAAATTTCCAGAATTGTGCAACTTCACTGTAAGTGACTGTCAAATACATTGTACAAAATTTCTTAAATGGTACTTGCACTAGGCATTATGTCCTGGGCCTGCTTCCCGTTTGGGACTGCAGAATCTTTGTCTGGGGTTATTATTTCTTGCATCCTAGTGACAAGTGTTTGGCTGAACAATGCTCATCCCTCCCCTTCTCTCTTTGCTCTTCAGGTATTTCATTTCTCACAAACCAAACAAGACCTGGCAACAAGTATTCTGGTTCGCCATCAGCATCGCTATAAACAATGCCTACATCCTGTACAAAATGTCAGAGGCCTACCACGTGACAAGGTACAGCCGCGCACAGTTTGGAGAAAGACTTGTAAAGGAGCTGCTGGGCCTGGAGGATACCTCACCCTCCCATTGATGCATTGTTCTTGGTGGCGTAGGCAGGGGGTGGAGGGTAAGCAGAAGAAGATACCATACCTGGAACGGCAAAACAAGGAACTTGGGACACCACCAGTGCTGTCCTTATCCAAAAATGCCAAGTGATGCCACTAGAGAGGTGGAAACTTTGTTCCTAGTAGCAGCTGGATGTAAACATGTCCTGCAGAAAGTGCCACTGGAAAAGCTGTCACAAAGTTGTGTATGTGAATGCCCTGTGGGACTCTGTAAACCAGAAATGGACTTAAATTAGCAGTCATCTCAATACTATTTGTTGAACAGGGTCATCTTGTAACGTTCCTTGTGGGCTAAGAGCTTGTCATAGGCAGACATAGCTCAGCAGCCCTGGGCGGGCGTTACAGGGAACTCTACACCTTGCTTGGAGTTACTCGATCCTGGGACAAGCGGCGTGAGCCTGCACCGGGGGCTGCGGTTGAGAGCGCCTGCCACCCCGTAAGGCCTCGCTGCTCCCCTCCCAGTGTGCTGAAGAAGCAGTTCAGGCACACAGACGCTGAAGCAAGTCTATTGACAACCTTTACGGGTAGGCAGCCAGGAACCGAGGACCGGTTGAGACTTTTTCTTTCTGTCTTTTTCTTTGTTTGTTTTTACCAACGTAATGTAAGGCAGTTCAATCCCAGTCAGAAAACAGCAAAATTAGGGGAAAGCAAGTACATTAGTGAATTTAAAATGGAAATACATTACCTTGATTTTTCTTTTTTTAACCTGGATGAAACATTTTATACACAAGCAAACAGTAAGTAGTACTAAAAGTATTAACAGTGAGTAAACCAGTAAGTAATACTGCCTCACATCTTAACTGCCACGGTCAGTGTACAGGTGAGAAATCAGAGTACGATTACATTTTTTTCTTGGTTTCAACTGTTAAACGTTGCTTAAAAACCTAGTGTAATGGGCTGTTAAGTTTTTAGAAACAATAATTTCTGTCTTTTCCTTTTGTAACTGTCAAGACTTTTTTGGTCCATTTTTAGAACATCATTTGGCACACAGTTGGCAGGAACAAAATAAGTCACTAGTAGCAGTATGTTTCCCATTATCACTGCGGGGTGTTCTGTAGGAATGCTTCTTGTTAGAATTCAGGGCTTGTTACAATAGTTGTAATTAAGCAGATTACATGTTTAGCAGAATAACATAGCATTGTGTTTTACAAAAAAGAAAGAAGTCCAGTTGCAACCAGACCTTAAACCTGACTAAAACAGAGCAAGCCCAAAGCGTTCTCCCGTTCTGAGTAACACTGTAGAGGACAAGGATGGTCACGAGCTGGTGCCCACGGCTGAAACGCCATGTTTCGGTGCTGAGGGAATCGGAAGGCTGCTGAAGCTTAGGAAAAGACTGCCGAGAGAGGGAGGTACGACTGAAGCGGGAGAACTGATGCTGAGATGAAATACTGCCCTGCCCTCTACACAGTATAGATTTCAGCCCACAGCTCAGTCAGGAAAAAACTCTGTACTCTGAAGGTTGGCAGTGATGGGCACAAACCAAATTGCATCAGCCTAGAGGGCAGACACCATGTTGCTTAGAGGACCTGATGGTTTTATATTTCCAAGCCTGGCATTTCCTGAAAAGTTTTACTGAAGAATGACTTGGGTTGATTCAAGAGAGAGGGATGGACGGATAGATGGATGGATTGATGGATTTATCAGTGTAAACGTCACCAGGTTATACGTATCTATGGGGCAAGAGACAGTAGAGAGTAACCAACACGAATGTGAACACTCCCCCAGATTTCATCGTTACGTGATGTGCAGATGCAGACCATGTATGTTGTTACCGAGGAAGAATCGAGCAGCGGTTAGTAAATGACTGACCAGCTCAAAGAGCATCCTGGTACTGACATCTTTCTATTTCCACCAAAGTCTTGGCTTTTCAAGTAGACTTTGGCAGATCACGCCTGGCTGCAGGGAAGGTAGAGGGATGGCCCACTCCACAGTGGTTCTGCTTGCGGTACAGCCTGCGGACTGTCCCACACATCCTGCTCTGCCCGCTGCTCACAATGTGCAGCAGTGGGTTTCCTAAGCACCCCTTTTCTTCCGTTCTCAAGACACAAGGCCTCCATCCAGGAAGTGTGTGAGAAAGGACAAAGTGTGGTGCACTGAGGCCTCACAAGGAAGGAAGGGGTTGTACCCCCTTGAATTCTGAACTCAACCGTGGGCTCCTATGCAGCTTGGCATTGCCAAGGACTAGTCCAGTGCCAAGCTGCATAGGAGCCCACGGTTGAGTTCAGAACAACTCGTCCCGGCAGAGAACTGAGAGCACCCATTTTCAGACTGAGAGTTTTCTAAGTATCCCAAGGGGAAGAAGAGCTAGCCTGAACAACAGATGTTCGGCAATATAAGCCCATGGTTTCCTCTTTTTAGGAAATTCCACAGAGGCACCTGAAGGCTGATGGTGTTCTGAGGTCCCTGCTTCAGGCAATGCCACTCCTGTAAATTTATCTGGTAGTCGAAACTGGGACAGTAAGGAAAGGGCTGGCTGAAACTTTGCTGATGGGGCAGCTTGAATGAACAGTAGCTGCTAAGTGTCTTTGCATTGCCCAGCCGTCACGGGGCACTTGCAAGATGCGTATGCCCCCAGCAGAGATGGAGGGGTTTGCAGGACCTCCTAGGAGCCACTTGGCACTTCTGAGGAGTAAGCACAGCACTCTCCAGGTATGTCGTAGCCCCCCGAGACATCTGGAGCCCTTGGCCAAGGGTGACATTACTATGTATGCTTAAAGGCTTAGATCTAGGCCATCTCATAAAGAAAAATGCCTTTTCTTTTTCAGGTGACAGTAGGTCCAGGGCGTTGGAATGTTTAATTTTCCACTAACGTCTGCTGTTAATTATGTGGATTACTTGAGCTAAAATCATGAGGTCCTAGCTTTTTGCCTCAGGGACTGGGTCCTGAGTAGTTTTCCCTAGAATTGGTGTTGATGGGGGATTACACAGTGGCTGACTATTACAGGGAAGATGCTTTAGTCTCCTTTGCAAAGGAGAAAAATGAAGACAAAATTACAGCTTTGCAATGAATTTCATTTTCTTAGCCTTAACCATCCCTCATCATTTTGAACTGGTGCCCTCAACATGCACAAACATTCCATAAATAAGCAAAAATATTTATATATATTTATATGTACAAAATGCCTGAATTTTGGCTCTCGAAGCCGACAAGCAAAACCCACCAAAGCATAGTCTATATCCACAGGTGACTATTCCACCTCATCTTCTCCATTTATTGACTGGGAGTGGATAAGGTTGGGGAAACTTAAGATTTCTCCTTGTTGAAAAAGCATCTTGCACTTTCTCTACGTTACTGCCAACAAGGCAAAGTAATTAAGGAAGAAACTGTATCGGTTTTAAAAGGCAAAAGTTTGTTAACTGCGGCTTAGCTTCTGTATCATTTCCTTTACTGCCAACTGGCTTGCTCCTATGCCGTTCCCCACCTGCTTGTAACAATGGAGCTTCTCCCTAGTTAAAGGAAAAAAAAAAGGGTTAGTCTTGGAGTAGTGCGTAGCGCGCGCATGTTGTTAATGGTGCAGTGGCTTGTGAAATGATAGCAAGTCGGGGTTGTTTTGTGGGTTTTTTTCGTAACCTTGAGACAACCCAGGTAAGAGATCTTAAAGCTCAGCAGTAGTTAACATGCAGTGGAAATGCCAGCTGGGTCTCTGACTTTTTTCCCAGGGAAAAAAAGTGTTTGAAGCTGGAGCAGAAAGGCTTTTTTTTTGAACTGAATTTTCATTCACACATACTTCTGAAAACGACTTACTTACGGTATGCAAACTTTTGTTTCAAAGAACCAAGACCATCAGCGAGACACACCTTCTATGCACAGCACTTGACTTTCAAGAAATGTCTTTTCTGCCACCATCCATTCTTGGAAAACATGTCTTTTCCCAGTGTGTAATAGAGCATTCACTAGAGCTTAGAAGCCACTGTGAAATGGTTTTCACTGCTGTTGTCTCAGCTGAAAAATGTTTCAAGGGCTTGCAGGAACTCTGCCACTTCTTACATCAGCCCATTTGGGCACTTGGCACTAGGGCACAATTTAAAGAAATCTGTTTTCCATTCTCTAGCCCCAGCCCTTCTGCATTTACAAGGTAATCCAAGGATCCCAACTTACTTACACATGTTTCAGTGTTCCTAATGGGAACAACAAGGTTTTCTTCAGAGACTTCCTAGAGAAAATGAATCCAGCAGTTTCCAGGCTGACATGAAGGACAGCAGCTCAAAACAGCATTCCCATTCTTTACCTCCAGCTACGCTTATGTGGCTTTTTTTCTTTCCTTCTGACATTTATTTAGCAGTCTGCCTTGAGCTGATAAATAGTGAAAGAAGCCTCCACTATCTGTGTCTTACATGTCTCGGAGTCCCCTAGTCCTGGAGCTGATTTTAGCGATGAGCAGGGGATCATGCTGCACTGGGAATTCTGCACATCTGTGCTGCTTCCTGTGCAGGGGTTGCCAAGTGCTGTAACAACCTGAGCACTCAGGAGGCATCATTAGCTCCTCAAACAGGAGCTTTCCCTGCCCTAATCAGACGCTGAGGCACAGCACAGGTAAGGGGGTGATGAAACCGTAAAGCAGAGTTTGCACTCCTGCTGATTAAGTCCACGTTCTGCATTTTTAGCGACTTAGTTCTTGTTCAGATGCACTTTCCCAGACTGGAAATGAAGGCACGCCAAACATCATCCCACCCTGAAGTTAGGACTGTGGGGCTGTGTCAGCAGAGGTTCCTTACTCCATATAGGCCAGTATGGAACAAAACCAAGTTGCGCTGATGGTAAGAGCAAAGCAGCCCAGCCTGCCTCGAGGAGCTTAGAGGAGATAAAGTCTGAAGCGCTGCTACAATCCAGTCATCGATGTGAAATCCAGAGAAAGAATTACTAAGGCTGACTGGGGAAAAGTTGCTGAGGCTTTGGCGGAATATGAAGTCTTCCGTCCATCTCCGTCGTGGAGTTTGCCATGGCGCTTTCTTGTTGCTAGGGCTGGTGTAAGATCAGTCCTTTGTGAAACAAGAGCACGTCTCAATTTGGTTGAGAAAAACATTTAAGTGTCAGAGGACTGTTAGCGCTGATTTCACAAAGGCAAGGACCTCTAAGCCCAAAACTTGGATATATTTGGGCTGTCGTTAACTAGGATGTTTGGCACAGACACACCATGTCATCATCTGCTCAAATGCAAGCCAGTGCTACTTGATATAAATACATACATTCCTTCTTGGAACAGTTCTTCCCAAACCTGCCTTTATTTCCAGAAGCTGGAAAAGCCCCCTATCATCATTTTGCTGCTGGGGAGCAG